ATTACAAAGCAGTCATTTATGTGGCTGCAGTGTAGACATGCCTTTAGGTTTATGAATGTTTTGTGAGGGTGGAGCAGAGCAGAAGCTAGAGTCTCCGGCCAACTACAAGTGTGCTTTGTCATATATCTTGTTGTTATGGCTTAGTTTATGTGTTTTTGAAATAGTGTCTGGGCTATCGCATTGTTGTTTTCTGTGTCAATACTTTGTGGCTTGATTCTGAGATGTCTAGCAGCTAAAACTCCAGGTCTAGCCATAATTTCTACTGTAATATTTAATCATTTGAGCAGTCAGCAGGGATGAAAAATTTTAGGCTTTTGAAGCCTTTCATGTCAGGAATATCATCTAATTGTTTCGAAAAAGAAGATACACATTGTTTGAAGAATTTGAGACCATAGAAAAGCCTTAGACAAAAATAAATATTATTTGTATTTAGAAAGGTATAACACACGCTGTCTGTAGGAAAACAGGAAAACTGACTGGCAATCTTCATTAGATCAGTGAGAATTTGTTCTCTGGATTAAAAGAAAAAGTCATGTCAGATATATAAAAAAATTGAGCTGTTTGGGACTGTGTTTAGTTTTACATAGGTAAAAAACCCTTAGCAGTTCAATTTTAGCTTTACTACCTCGGTATCGAGTCTGACAGAAGTCGGGGTCCAATCCCTCAGCTTTCTTGAGGTTTTTATGAATGATCCCATTCTTTTTCTGTCTTGAGTTCAAAATGCATTATTCCAGTTTTGGAAAATCCAAATCAAGATTTTTTAATTCTCAAAGTTGATTAGGTGATAGGACTTCAGATAATTAGGGTCCTTTTCACCTTTTTTTCCCCATATCCATTAGGTACATTTTCCACCTTTAGTGATTGCTGTGTTCAGCTAATCTGTCAATTTAACCAAAGCAACAATTTCACAATGTAGTTTTCTTTCTGATTGTGTGCTGTGTAATCAATATACTGATATAATGTGAGTGTAATTTCCTCTCTTATTTTATCTTCACTGCACAGTATTATAAATAAACAGCTAAAAAAGAAAAAAGAAAGAAAAGCACCAAACAAATCTGTTGCATCTTCTTTTAAGATTGTACCACTGTAGACACTTGTTCTAGTAAAGTAGAATTGGACCCACTTGATTGCATTTAAATTTTTCATGCTTCAGCAGTTTGTCTGGGAGCACAGTAAAGAAAACCCCCCGAGCGAGGATAGTTTAGAATAATAGAACTTGATTTTGTGTATTATAGCGGCACCATTTGCGCTGCTGTAGTTAGGGTTGTGTCAGCACTTCCATTATAAACCCCTGTTTGCAGGGGTTATAACTAGGGAGATATTTTTTATCAGAAACTTTTTTTTTAAATCATTCGTGTGAATTTAATTGATAATAGCATAAAAAATAAAATAAATTATAAAGCAAATTAGTAAATTTCTGATACCCTTTACAAGCCTTATTTATGAACATTGATTTTTTTTTTTTTCCTCTCACCAGGGATTTTAGCAAATGCATTTTGAATATTTTAAATGTAAAATTGAGAAGTTATTATGGCTTAAAATTTGACTGCTATTTATACTCATATTTTAACATTAAAACATTTTAACACAACAACCTGTTCTGTGATTTAATGTTATCATAAACATCAACTACTCAAATAGGCCAGATTCTTCTCCCTTTGAATTTGATGAAAGCTTGGAGTTATTGGCTGAACTCTGCCTTTGGACCTGGTGGAGTTCCATGTACAGAATTCTCCCATTTAAGTAAAAACAACCAGGTAATGAGTAAAAACCTGCGTGAAGTAATTGACTGGATAACACCCAGTCACAGAGTTTATATTTACTCTGATTTACTGATTATAAACCCAGGCATAATCAATATTTGGTGCATAACCTGGCACCCTCAGAAGACATGTACGCTTGAGGTGTATTGATTGAGTTAATGATTGTGCTGGGAAAAGAAGGTGGAGTGCTTGATCTAGCAGTGTCCTACATCTCTGTCCCTTTTACCCCAGTGTTTAAAATCTAGCAACCAAAAACCTGAACTGTACCATTAAGCGCTGACCTCTGACCACAATTAATGTGCTGAATCTTGCTGTTTTAACAAAGGTGTTTGGGGGGAAAATAGAAGCAAAACACATCCCTAAAAAATATGTCATGAGGAGAGCAAGTGTCTGGGAGGCCTGCCTGAGCTTGTCTTTCCTTTCAGGCTCCAGGACTATAGGTAACTGGGTAAAGTGCAGTATGAAAACGTGCCTGACCATAATGCAGCAGTGGAGAAAAAGGGTAGGTGGAGCTAGAAAGCGTTTGAACCCTGCTCTTCGTCCATTCTCTTAGTCTAGTACAGAAAAAAGTTGCTGGGCATGGCTTGGCTTGAGATCATTAGTGACCGTGACTTTGTCAATATAATTTTATTTTTAATGTTAACACAGCCCCCTTTTCTCTATGTAATCAACTCCAGCAACAGAACATGAATAGAGGTTTTTATTTAATTGTGTTTAAAACATCATGGATAAGAGGAAAGTATATTAGCGTATATGGCAAAGAAAAAGTGTTTCCTCTATCGTGCATTACCAGTAGATAGCTTTACTGAATGGTCACTTGAGGAAATACCAAAAGCCTGTTTATGAAATAGAGGTGAAGCCTTTCTAGACTAATTATATTCAGCATGTAATTTCTAAACTTCAGTCTGAATTTTGATTTTCAATTAACATTCCCAATTTGAAGATAATTTTCTATTTAATGTAATTGCAGGAAATAATTTATTGGCTGATTAAGACTGAGGGCCCAGCCTTCCTTAAGAAAACAGTCCCTAACAAACCAGTCTTTAAAGCCAACTCGTAGCTTTGGACAGATTCAGCCTATTTTTGCAGCTGCAGAGTTGTGTTTAATTAGGATTGTGCACTATTATTCATTGGTGCAGTTTGTAGTTGAAATTATTCTTAAGAGACATTTTCATTTCTAGTTTTGTGTCATGATTAATTTATGGTGAAGAAACAGCCATAGCTATTGCTTTTCACAGAAGCTTGTTCAGTTTATAACAGGAACGAGATCTGCTGAGAAGGTGAAAGAAAGGGAAAATCCTTTATTGTGACTTTCAGTTTTCGTGTCTGGCTTTCAAATTGCATAGAGCGTTGACTTATATTTTCATGTGAGTGATTACATTAACATGACTATTTTAATGAGAAAAGGGAAAGTAAACCTTTTATTTTATCTTGGATCATAGTAATTATGGACCAGAACCTTTTGAAGTACGTACAATAATGCCGGTTGCTGAACTCTTGGCATGTTCTCTGTAGCATCAACATAAATTCTTTAGCGTAGTAAGAATGTAATACACGGTTTAAATTCCTCAGTTCTGCTTATTGGCAACATTAATATTAGACTCCCACTTACTCTTAGGCTCCCCTAAAGAAAATGCAAACCTTTTTTTCCCCACCAGTATCGAGTTTAAGAGGCCGGATTATCTCTATTTACAGAATAGTTATTCTAAATAGGTATCAGTGTTTTAATATGTTTCAAAGCACTTCAAAGCTTGTAATACTTTCATATAGAACTGTACATAATTAGATTAGTTGATCCTATATTAATTTTTTTTTTCAGTGTAGGATACTAAATCTGAACTCCCTCATTAATTGTGAGAAATTTAGCATTAGCTGTTAAATCCTATGTGAAACACAGGCTGCTACATAAAAACTACTGTTTAAATTGGAATTAACTTAATTATTTTTCTTTGCACTTGATATTTCCTTCACTGTAATATTCATGAAAGCATGTGACAGATTTGTAAATTTAACTGTTAGTCTCAGATTTCCAGACCCTTTAATCAGTATTTATTTGTCTGTAGAAACAGTACTAGCAAGTTAATGATTTGCTAATTTGAAAAATGCTCATGTGGTTTCCTATGTTAACTGATTTGTGCATTTTTAAAGAAATGGTATGAAATCAATTATTGTTAAAAAGCAATTAAGGTGAAGATCTTATTCCTTAGTTTCTCAGCAATTTCAATGTCATGGATATTCTAAAGTTACTAAAACCTGGGAAAATAGCTGATATATTTTAGCTGCCTTCTTTCAGGTTTATTAATGACTGTTTTAACAGTTGCAGTTAAGCTTAATAGAATTTTTAAACAAAGTGTGTTCAGATTTTGAGTTGAAGTCACTTATATTTGCATTTAAGTGCAGAAACTGTGGTGAAAGCTGTGTTTGCATACAAGATAGTAGCAAGAGGCCATTATTAGGAAAAGACATTTAACATAAATCAATGCGTTTAGTCATTACACTTTTAAGTAATTTAAAGTAATTTGTTGAGCTATATCCTGTACTTGATGCCTAATATGAAATGAAACATAATTATTTTAGATTTTTAGTTCAAACTATAAAAGATGACTCAGATATTATCCATCCATTCAATAAACCAGTTTTAGAACCCTTTTCACATGAACGCCTCAAAACACTTTAAAAAATGTAAAACTGGGTAAAAATTTTAAACAGGTTAAGAGCAGATGCAGCTTTAAACAAAAACCAAAAGGACTTATTTAGCAGAATTTGAAATGGATTTAAAAATTCTCATCTGTGTAGAAAACATCTTCTGCTTGCAAGGTATGAGGTTAGGAAAGCATGATGGATTCTCATATAAACGTTTGCTTATAACCTTCAGATTGCTCATGGGAGTAAGAGTTTGAAGATTTGAACTCCTATGCAAAATCAACATGAAAATACCAATAAAATCACTGTTTTCTTATGGCTGGAGAAAATGACATTGTTTGACAAATCTAAATGAATACAATGGCATCATATAACTTAGCCCTGACCTTGACTTGGCATCAATGAATACTTTATCTCAGTGTTTTGGATCCAGATCTCTCAAACCCGTACTTTTTACAGTCCTGTTGTCGATATGATTAATTTTAACCATTGTAGGCAAGAATGCCTGCTGGTTTGTTTAGAGGATTGTTTTGAGCTCGATTCTTTTCATTTAACACCAATGTTTTCATTTTGTCTTCTTTTCTTGTTTCGTAGAAGAATGTCTTCCAAGCAGGCTACCTCTCCATTTGCATGTGCAGCTGATGGAGAGGAAACAATGACCCAGGACTTAGCATCACGAGACAAGGAAGAGGGCAACAGTGATCAGCATGCGACCTCTCATCTGCCTCTACATAATGTAATGCACAACAAACCTCACTCTGAGGAGCTACCAACTCTGGTCACGACCATCCAACAAGATCCTGAGTGGGATGGAGTCATCTCAGCCCAACACAGAATGGTGAGTTTCACAGTTCTCACTGTGGCTTTATAAATTAGTATTATAAAGACTGTTCACTTCCACTTTGAAAGACATGTTCAGTGCAATCCTTCATGGGTGTAAAGCTTTTTAAATGTTAAAGTGTCAGTGTTAGTAATAGATCAACATCAATACGGTGTAATTGTAAATTACAATTGTATAATCTTCTTAAGTATACAGGTCTATATGAATGAGGTCATTTGATGAGTTCACCTTCGGAAAGGAAATGCATCTATTTATCATGTTTTCATTCATAACTTGATTTACGTCATAACCTCTCTAGCTCATATATTCAAGCATTATTTTCTGACAGGAGGATGTAGCTCACAACTGTTTGTCATCTGCAAAGTGTTGTGCTGCAGGAAGAAACTTTAATATATTTTTTTACTTGTCTCAGAAATAGAACCCACATAATCTAGAATATTACAGCTTTACACCACAACAAGAAGCTGGCATTTTAGGTGACACAAACATCCTGCTGTATTTATAGGAAATTACAACTTTTTATAGAGGGGAAAGGTGTTTATGAGTAACTATGTCATGCTCTTCTGCTCTAGATCACCAGTTTGTATATGGGTGATGTTAGCAATGATCAGAATTATTATCTGTATTCTCTTCAGTAGTATCTAGATACAATTGTTTTGCAGTTGTAATTCTGTCTCTGCATCCCCAAAACTCTGCAATAAATGGGCAGACTGAATGAAGACTGAATGGGCATAGCATCTCAGTCAATTTGTTTTCCTTGCATGTGTTCCTGAGGAACAGAATTAAGGTACATGGAGCAGCCAGGTGTTCTGTAAATTTAGAACATCATAATTCCAGACTCTCCGTAAAGTGACTTTCACAGACATTAAATTCACACAGTTAATTTAAAACCGATGCCCTGCCTTTTCATAAAATTTCTTCTATATTTTTATTAAATGTCTGAGTGGATTTTTTTCAGCAAGTATTTTTTTTTCAGTATGAATCAGCAGCTTTCAATAAGGTTAAAAAACAACAATTGTAGAAGAATTTTTGACAGCTCTAACAATAATGAACTTATTTCAAATTTGACAAGAAATTATAATTCTAACGCATTAATCAAAATAGATACTGGAATGCTTCATGCAAGTTGTGATGCCTGGAATTAGTTAAATAATAGCACTTCAATAATACCAATTTTGTTTAATACAGTGGGGTTTTTTCTTTCTAAAATCCAATTGATCGAAAAGATCAAAAAATGCTACCTAGTCTGTAATGCACAATTTGACCCAGTGCAGAACTTCTGTCAGGCCTAAAATATTCCTAAGTATTTGGGCTGCTGTCATGAAGAAGGAAAAATTTCAACTGTAAAAATGGCTTTAAAGAAAAGTGATTATAGGTTAGTAATTTGGCAAGGTCAGTTGTAAGTTGTATATATGGCTATTTTGCAGAATTCTCAGATGGAACCTCATTTTGGATGGAGAGTCACCTTTTTGCCCAAGTCATGTGATAAACATTAGAATAATTTTAACTTCTATGTTATCAGGAGGGCAAGTGAGATGCAGACTAGAAAGGATTGATTGAGTCTGTTGATGAAAAAAGTAAATCTGTGAATTCATCAGCTACTTTTCTATTCATTCAGGGAGGCATATGCACTCTGGGAATTTTGGTCTTAAGACACCAATAACCTTGATAAAAATGACTCTGTGTCCCAGAGAGAAGGGAACTCCTAACCTCTAAGAGTCCCTCAAAGCCTTTGTTTTTGATTCGGGCTGTTCCTTGGACCTGGAGTAATGCTTAAGCCAAAATGATAGAACCTCTTACAGTATGACTGGTTGTACTCATTTGTATTGCTCTGAAGTGGGTTTACACTTACGGCAACAGCGTGCAATCTCTGTTTTCTTTCTTAATGCTGCACTATTATGTTAACGCTTGCTGTACCCCTGGACAGGCATGAATCAATACCCAGCTTATCATGTTTCAGAACAGGTGCATAAACATTGCTTGAGTGACTTAGCACTCTGGTTTTCTTCTCTCCTTTTTTCAGTAAATATTCCATCATATAGGTAGATGCGTGTCCTGAAAATCATTAGGAGTTTCCACAATTCCCTTGGGTTAAATCTGGTGGTGGATGCATGTCATCTTTATTTAGGCAGCTCTCAGCTAAACCAAACAGATTTTTTTGCCCAGCTCAAAGCTGGGTAGAATTTACAAGGCTTGGCTAGAAATGAAAACTGAAGTTCCAGGGCATGCTGTTTTGGTTGCGCTTAAAAGAGATCTAAAATGTACAGAGCAAGGTCCCAGTGAATCTGCAGTTCAGGTGAGTTAGATGACTATTTAGATCACAGCAGTGAAGTGGTGAAAAACATTTTTTTCTCCTTGAGGGACTGTCTTTAAGGGTAACTTGTTTGACTTTTTTTTTTTTTTGATTATTTTTTTTCTCCCTTATTTATGTCCTTCATGAGCAAATCTTGAAGCCTCAATTAATTGCATAAATTTTCACTGAAACACCTCAGTCTCCAAGCAGACATCAATGTTGCTAAGAAAGAATTCAGAGATGCTTGCAATTTTCCCGATGAAGGCAATTTCATACTCCTTTAAGGGAGGATAGGAGTTTCTTTCCAGAAAGACAAATTCCAGAAGGTGGGTTGGGCAATTTTGAGATAGGTGCAGTGGTAGTGACCGCTTTTCTACTTAATAAAACTAAATTCCCCAAAGGCAAGCGCTTTCTGACCTTTCCCAGACGGATCCTTTCAAAGCAGATTTGAAGAAGCACCTGCTCATACCATTTACACTGGAAGTAAAGACAGTAGTGCTGTCATTAAAATGCATCAATAATGTCTGTTGTCTGGTTATAAGATAGTAAATTCAAAGAATGCTGTGTCGACATATGGGGAGGAAAAAAATTTCTCTTTTATGTGGTACCTAATTAAGGGCACAATCCTGCATCCCTTGTGCCCTCAAAACTACTAGGGAGTTCACTGGAATTTGTGAGAGCACACAGTATGCATCATAACATGCTACGAGGGCCGTACAGATCTTAGGTGAAAAAAAGATACTGTAGTAGGGCAATTTGACTGAAAAAAAAGATTGACTTTTTTTCCCAACATTTATGGTATGCAGCACTTTCTGTAATATAAAATACCTTTAAACTACATTGTGTATTACCATAAAAAAACCACACTGGCTAGAAATGTTTTCAAACTTTCACTCCCTTTTGATATCAGGCATTGCTTTCCACTGAGTCCTTTGTGTATTCTGAATGTCTGGAAGCCAAAATATTTTGTTTTAACTCCCACTCTATAGTATTTCCCAGCTGTGTACTTATATGGTGTAATAAAAGGATTTAACAAATGGGAAATAGCAGCTGCATTTGGAAATTCCCTTTGTGCTCCCTTTTCATTTGACAGATTCAGCAATGTGTAACAACTGTAACGTCAGACCTGTAATGACTTACACTGCGAGTATCGTATCACCAGCCAATTTGATGTTACAGTGGGGAAAAAATAAAACAACCAAAAGATTTCTGTAATTTCATATTGCTGAACTGAAAAGATTACGCGTATATTTCTAACTGTAACTTAATATAAAAATACCTGGACATATGGGTATTTACTGCTGCCTGTAGTTCTACTAGACAATAAAATCTATTTTAGGCTAAGGATGTATCTGTTTGCTGCAGTAAACTGTAGGGAAGAGGGCAAAGTGGTACAAAGATAAAGAGGGAACTATCCTGCTTTCTTCCATGCACAGTGAGTTACAGGCAAGAAACAGTCATATTTTTAGATTGCATCAAAATCCTGGCTCTCTTGGGGCAAGAAACTGAGAGAAGATGAGTGGAAAGCCAACAATACTTACTTTTGCTAAATTTAGTAGTAACTAAATTATTGTATCCCAAGAATATGTTTACTAGTAAATATGTAAAGAAATGGAGAATCATAATTTGTGCTTTGTTCACTGGGGAACCAGGAATGGTCCCCATCTTTATACAGAACCCCACACAGCTTGTGAGGTAAATGATGAATGTGTTAGGAGAAAGCAGTGCCAACAATAAGATACAAAATTAGATGGGCAAGTGGCCTGATCTTCTTTAAGGAATGGGATGGTGTATTCCCATGGCTGTAAAGGTTAGATGTGGGCCTCATGAACAATAAATGTGAGCAGCTTTAACCTAGTGAAATCTGAAATCTTCTTCCAAATCGCAGAATTGCACCCCCGCGCCCCCCCCCAACAGTGGAAAGAAGAGAGAGGCAAATTCTGCTCCCATCCCCAATCCCAATTTAACAATCTGGTAACAGACAGGGGTTGTGAAAAACTTGCAGGCCCTGCGCCCATCACTCTACATGATGAGGTATCACTTTAATGGTAACTATACTCTTTTCCCACTGGTGTTCCTCCTCTGCCGACCACCACCGGGGGTATATAGGCAGTGTGTGCATGCACAGAATGAGGGCATCCACTTCTTTTTGCTCTTTTGTTACTTGGAATGATGCAGTGAGAGGCTGTTACGAGGCACCGCAGCAGCAAGTCAAGTCTAAAGGATGGGTGTTATTTCTCTGTGACAGGAAAATCAAACATATATACATATACAAATACAAGTTAATTATCTCCAAATACATGCTAGTTTCCCCATATGTTTTGTAACATCATTTAGGGACCCCGTAGATTTAGAAACGAAATGTGTCTCATTGGATTTTCTCTCAAATGGTAACATTGACATATATTCCATAATTATGTCAGGTCTCTGTCTTTTGTTGACTTCTTGCCAAAAGAGCGAAAGGCTTGCTACCTTTCCACCGTGCCTGCAGGTACATCACAGCAGTACTGATGGCAGATGTCTATGCGGCAGGAGAAGTAAAGATCTCTTAACGCCACATGTATTTTTTCCTTTTAAAATTATTTGAAATCACCAAGTATTGAATTTAACTTCATGTAGCTTTAACATAACTACTGGCACCAGAAAGGCAGAAATAGTTGGTATCCTGGAGGTCTTAATGTTTCACTGCTTACTGTCTCTACAT